GCAGCACTGATGGCATCTTACATAGTTCAAGGTTAGTAATATAATTAGATACTTAGTTATATAAATTAATTTCTTTGGTATAAATAATAATGAAATATATAATAATATAAATAATAATTTAATGAAATAAATGCAACATTATTGCTGCAGAAGAAACACAATATTATTAACTGCAAAGTGTAAATTTATCAAAACATGAAGGCAAAGTTATGAAATATATAAAAACCAGACAACTTATTGTAGGTTTATTGACTATCCCAATAAGCACCAAGTCTTTGACTATCTTCTATCTTTGAAATATATATCAAAGATACCTATACTAATACAGTAGAGCATCGATTATCCGACTCCCAATTAACCGTCACAATATTTAGTTAAACATGATGCAGTTCTTTTGTTTGTTAATCAGCTTGGATCATCAATGATGTCTAAAATTAGTGACAGTGTTTAAAATTGATGTAATTGATTGATTGGACAAGAGTTTGAGTGATAAAGTTGACTGATGTTTAAAATTAGTGACATATACTTGTTTGCACTGGCATTTGTAAAATTTGAACACAAGAAAGAACTTTCAATGTAAAGTCACTGTTTTACTTCATCACCAGCGATTTATTATCCACCCCTATCCCATGTTTAGTAATACTCACAGAGCCCATTAGCAGGACTGTAGATCTGGGGCTTCTTTTATGTACATAAGACATCATATGAATGTAAACTGAAGTATTGACTGTTGCACTGACTTCCAAACAAGATATTTTCCAGCTTTCTAGTTCAGAAGGCAATTCCCTGGAGTAAGCAACAAAATATTAATTGATGCTCTGGGCACACTCAGCCTTCATTCAGTACAGTACTTTCTCAGCAGTAAAACAATTGGAAGACAATGCAACAGACTAAACGGTGACAGCCAGCAATATTTCAGTTTTGATACCTGATGCCGATGCTGACTAGTATTGATACTTTAAGACCAATACTGATACCAATACTGGTATCAATATTTTACAACTGCTCTTGATACTGGTATCAATACTTTTGAGGTATTGGGAATCTCTAGTTTTGAGTCTTGGGGAAAACAGTTAAAAACTTGAAATTTCTATAAAATTAAATTTGCTGGAAACACTTCCAGGTTAGAAATGGAGAGTATAAATCAAGAAATCACTTATGAATCTTCAGGTTAGTCCAGCAATGAATGTACAGTACATGGTGAGCACAAAAACACTCTTTGATTTCAAGTAGTTATAAAATCAAAACTTGTTGGAATATGTTTGTAAATATGGTGACTGCAGATACATTAACTCAAGAAATTTCTTCTGTGCAAATTTCTCAATGAGCACCTGCCAAACAGATGGGTTGATTGTGCTGGACTAAATGACCAGGTGTTCTGCAAGTGGACCCTGCGATCACTGGACCTAACTGTTTGTGAATTTTTCCCATTGGGAATACATGAAGCACACTGATATAGTTTTGGTTACATTATGTCAAATTTGACTGCATAACATCATTATGTCAATCTGCATGTGGTGATTTACTTTTGTCATTCATTGACTGTACAAATAAATAAATATATATATATTTATTTATTTATATCAATATATACACACACCTTACATTGAAATAATGTGTGTTGTTAATGTTTTTTAATCTGTTTTTCTAGCTGAATGTGGAGATTATGCTCCTGAAGATTATCCAGATCATACATATCTCTCTTGTTATAAGTTTGTACCACATCAAGATTCTGAATTACAGAAGAAAATTATGGAAAATCACAAGAAACATATGTAAGCATAATTATAAAATTTGATTTTGAAAGATTTAAAATATTTTTCATTATTTGATTAATTTAAAGCAATGTATATTATTGAATTATTCAAGTTAAAACAAACTACAAACAAAATTGGTTACACAAAGAAAGAAAGATGATGATGATAAAATTAAAATATACAGTAAAATGTTAATTTTATTATTAATTTCTGTTTGTCACATAGCATCTCATAGACACTACAGCACACATTTTTCAACATTTCTTATATTTAAAATATTATAAAAAATAAGCATCACATAAGTGTTTTTGTATAGTATCTGTTGCAGGAAAATATGTGGGCATTGATGCTTATGACTATCATTTGCATTGCTTGCAAGATTTCATTTGCAACTATGAATCTTTTTGTATTTGTGTCAATATGTTTTTAAAAGGCAGTAAGCTATACCATTACTTATATTTTACATCTGTTCTCTGTTATTCTCCTATCACTGAAAACAAAAATGCAAAATGATGACATGTTCTGAGTTTTAATGAATTATAAATGAAAGTAATGCATTTTATGCAATGATGCAACATGACAAAAATGAAAAAACCTAATGAAGCATTATGACAATTGCATTTATTTGATAAAATTATTAACTTTTTAAATTGTCAACTGCATAAATTACTAGCTTTATATGAGAAATTTGGTAAGCAATCATATGATGGTCCACACATTATTTCTTTTATTACTTCATTTCTCATAGGAAATATTCCTGGTTAAAACTCAGCAAAAATTTTGATACTTTAATATTTCAAATGTCATTAATTTTTGAATTAAGATAATTGAGTTTTGATAATCAATTGTGTAACTAAACTGCATTAAAAAAATGAACATAAAATTAAAATAATTAGTTCTAAAAAAAAATGGTTGTTATATTTTAAACGAGCATTCTTCCAAATAAAATAAAACAAAAATGTTATCATTTGAAATGTAAATTGGATGGAAGCTTTTGTTTACAGTTTAACATTTGAAGTAGAGATGTGTTGGCTCTACTGTTAATTTCTGTATAAAGAAATGAAGTTTTCCTATCCAGGCTTTGAAAAACAACATATCTCTGTCTAATTTCAAACAAACCCATGAAACCTGACATAATTTAAAAGTGAAATTTGTTACGCTTATTTTTTACTTTTTTGGCATAAATTACAAAAAAATAAATGTAAACTATCCATTTTTATCTATTAAAAAGTATTTTATATTGTTAAAAAGAAGAAAAAATACAGAAAAAAAAGATATAATCATAGTTTCTGATTCACTGCTGATAATTTACTATTTGGATTAAGCAGGAATATTATTTTTGGCTTCTGAGAGATGTCATGCAAGCTAAAGAAGTTGATCTTATGCAAGATTAGTGTTTAACATAAAGATCTGTTAATTATATAGATAAAATTGTGAACCGCCAGGGAGGGTGTAGATCTCCCGATCCGGCAACAGGTTGTTAAACCCTTTCACTGTCAGGATGGATGGAAGGATTTTTTTTCCCGCTGTAATGGGCTTTAATGTGGCGGAGGGAGGAGTGCATCGGTAAGGTGACCGACGATATACGAGTAAAAGAGGACACCAATTTAACAGGATAACAATGATTTATTAGCTACATAGATACAATAATAACTAATTTCAAAGGGAAAAATCTGAGTCCCTGAAACGCGAAGGACCGAGAGAGAGTTCACAAAAATTTGTTCCATACCTCTTTATGTCTTTAAATATTCTTAAGGAGAAAGGTTTTGATATCCAACGGGTTGGTAGGATAAGGATAATAATTTTTCTTCAGGACAGAATATCGATAGGACACAGTATATTAATTGGACACAATATTCGTAGGACACAGTCTTAAAAGTGACGGCGGATGAACGACTCCCCGCGAGAAGGGGAAGGAAGGGGTTTTTATAAGTTCGGCGTGGGAGAATGGTCATGTGACCAATTGTTGTGAGGTAAAAGGTACGCGGATGGGTCAAAGTTGTTCCCGGGCCCATGCTAACTATCAACTTTGGAGGTGGAATGTGGGATTAGTTTCGAAATGGACAGATGTTTACTTTAAACGAAAGGGGAGATCGGAATTTTTCCATTTTTTTAAGTTAGGGTTTAGTTTAGAATTTAAAGGAAAATTTAATTGGGGGTTTAGAAAAATGCTGTATATTAATCGAAAAATTCGATAAAAATTCTGGATCTCACATTCACTCCCTGTTTTCTTTAAAATCGCACTTAGTAGTGTGATTTTAACCTTTCTGACTGTTTTGTCTGCGTAGAGGTACTGTACGTTTACATAGAGAATGGTCCAAACAACCCTTTGCTCTTTTTTTTTCTCTCTCTCTCTTGGCACTAGATAAAAAAAAAAATTCTTTTCGGTTACATTAAAATGCCACGTCTAAATAAAAATGATAAAAGAAGCCGATGTAAAATATAACACTTTGGTTATACAAATACTCTCGGCACGTGTCACTCGCAACAATATTTATTGCTCGAGGTGGGAGGACTGAAGTCTTCTAACTGGAATGGTTGATTGGTCAGTTGACGTTTCGTTGACCTGGATAGGAAAGTACTGGTCAAAGTTCGTTAGGGTTGAGATGGTCCTTTTTCTTGGAGTTCTTGGTTTCGTCGGCTGGATTTTTGTGTGTACGAGGTTGTTTTATCAACGATATAAAACTTTCCAAGATGCTACCGGAAAGTATTTAATGATTGGAAGATTCGTAGGTAAGTGGTTGTTGATATTTTGTAGTGGCGTTCAGGTTAGAACTTCCTGGACGATAGGTTGATTGGCACTTCGAAGTGTTAAAATTCTTGAGGAGTCACATGCGTTGGACGTCTTCGGCTTAGGAGGTAAAAGTAGCACTTTTCTTTGATTAAAACATTAATAAAAGTTAATGATAATGTTAAAATAGTCACTGAGTTTCTTCTAGAGGTATATGGAGGTTACATATATATTTATTTTTACTCTCTCTTGGATTTAAAATTCTAAATTTAGGATATATAGATATATAAATTTAGAGAAAATTTTTAAAATATGAGAAAGGTTCCGTTTATAAATTCGAATGCTGGAAAATATAAATTTGGAACGCTGAATAACTGGAAAAATTTAAAAATAATAATAAAATGGTGGTTGTCGAGTGTAGCGCAAAGCCTTAATAGCTTTGAACAATAAGTTTGTGTGCTATTTGGGTAGAGTCGCCTCGGGGAGCGATTTCTCGGGAAGCACTTGGTTGGGTGTCGGGTTGCTGTTGACTTTCTCTTTCACTAAGGGGAGATGTGTTCTGGCTCGGGTTCTGTGGGGTGTGGTTGAGGTGGTGGACGACGTTTTTTCTGCTGAACGTAACGTCGAATGATATAATAAAGGCAGCATCCCATAACAACAGTACCAAGGCAACTTGTAATTATCGTCATTACCGTTGAGAGGTAGGATGGAGGTGTTGATTTAGTTGTCATTTGTAACAGGTGATTGAGGTCATAGGTGACGTCTGATAAGGATCGGTCTGCTAACTTGATATCGTAGTCGGAGTTTAGATTTCTCTTTTCTTGGGTTTGTGATTCTAGGAGACGTTTTTGAAGTATTTGAAGTTCAGTTTGATTTAAAAGTTGTTCAATTTGAGGAACTACTAAGTGTTGTGCTATCTCAAGTTGTAAGGTTGATTGTCTTTGAAAGTGTGAGGTGAGAACGATTCCGGGTAGGTACCCTGTACATGCATTTGGTAAATTAATTATCCCGGTATAATTCAATTTGTGAGTTGTAGATATAAAAGGGGATTTCTGAGGTCTAGTAGGACATCTGATAGTTAAGGTGAGAGATTCAGATGTGGAATAAATCCAGGTTCCTTGTTCATCTATTCTCTTAAAGATAGGAGCATATCTTGCGACGATTTGTCGAGTACAGAGGTCTTTAACTTGGGTTTCGATTCCATTAAACAGAGCATACTCACAACTTCGTTGAGGGAATCGTTGTATGGGAACGTTTAATGAACAAATAGGAAAGTGGTCTATCTTGCACATAGTGAGTTCGAATCGTTGGAGCAACATATACGATTGTCTATCCATAGACAGAGCAATAATAGGATATTCTGGCTTAAATTGGAAAAAGGTTTTTAATGTAGGGATGTATGTTGGAAATTTGACAATTTCGTACATATCAAAATATCCACTAG